TTGGTCTATACCTCGGATGGTCATATCTTTGTTAAGAGAAAAGATGACGGTAAAACTTCTATTATTAAGCGAAAAGAGGACTTGAGTACATACTCATGATTGATAATCTCCTTCCTTTTACCCTTTACTCAATTTTATTATACTTTGATAGCTATGAGTGCTTTTCCTATTACTTTGTCCTTTATTGTGTTTATTTTTCTCGCATCTAATTGTTTAACTATTGAGCAGCCCGAGGCAACTTTATATTGGTATCTTAATTTTAATGGCGCCTAGTTTAATAATGCATAGAGCAGCTACTTGGACTCTTATTAGCCAATTCTTATGTATTGAAGATAAGGTGGCGGTATGCCACTTAGCTTATTTAGTTTTGTTAATTCTATTGTCTGGAGACGTTGAAAGTAACCCCGGTTCACGTAATTTAAGACTAAATATAGGCCATATTAATGCTAGAAGTTTGAATGTTGAAGACAAATTTGATGAGATTTCGTCTGTTGTTATCGAACACAAACTAGATATTTTTGCTGTTTCTGAAACTTGGTTAAATCAGAGTATTTCTAGTGATTCATTATGTATACCAGGCTTTAGTCCGATGTTTAGATTGGACAGAAAAGATGGTAGAAGAGCGGGGGGCATTTTGTTTTACTTCTTGGGGATTTTAATGCTCATTTTGACGTAAACGATATTCAGTCTAGTAGTGACTTCGGAATATATTTTTATAGGTGAATGGAGTGCAATAGCCTTTTTCAAGTGATAAACGAACCAACCCGTATAACAGCACACGGTGCCTCAATACTTGATCTAACTATAACAAATTCTCCGGGATATTTTGTTAATTCTGGTACTTTAAGCCCTCCATATAATTGTGACCATTCTTTAGTTTATGCTCGGATGAGCATTTCCTTCGCAAAACAAAAATGTTATAAACGACACATTTGGGACTTAGCCAAAGTAGATTCTAATACGTTATGTCAAGCCCTGTCGGAGGTGAATTGGGATAAATTATTTCAGGATGTTGAGGTGGTTTAATTGTTTTGAGCAAGTACTTAAAACCTTTGTTCCGAACAGAACAGTTGTTATTCGTCCAAGAGATAAACCTTGGTGACTTCTGGAATTAGGCGTGCAATTCGCAAAAGAAATAGGTTGTTAAAAGTTTTTAGGCGGCTGAAAAATTTAGTGGCATGGGAAAATTACAGAACGCAAAGAAATTATACCACATCGTTTATACGTTCAAGCAAGGAAAGATATTTTGCAAATCTAAATGTAGAATTACAGAACCCACATATTGGACCGAAAAAGTGGTGGGGGTTAGTGAAATCATTGTGTGGTAAAAAAATACAATCTGGAATCCCTACATTAATCGAAAATGATCGCTTAATAATTGACGCAAGAGAGAAAGCTAAAATTTTTAATGAATATTTCAGCACACAGTGTAGATTGGAAAATAATTATTCTCCGCTACCTAATTTAATTGCTTTTCAAAATATAAGAACATTGTCAGATATTTCCACGTGCGAACATGAGGTAAAAATTTTACTTAATAGTGTCGATGTTTCTAAAGCTTGTGGTGTCGATGGTGTGGGTAATTTTTTAATTAAAGCTAGTGCAAATGGTATTGCCAAATCTTTTTCTAGGTTTATAAATATCTCTCTTTCTAGAGGAATTTTTCCGTTTAAATGGAAGTTGGCAAATGTAATACCTATTTTTAAAAAAGATGACCGCCAGTCAAAATTAAATTATCGACCAGTTTCACTTTTGATATCATTATCAAAAATTATGGAAAAAATAGTTTTTATTTGGCTCTATAATTTTCTATAAGAAATTCAGTTTTTGAATCGTTTTCAAAGCGGGTTTCGCCCTGGTGATTCAACAGTAAATCAACTTATTTTAAGTGTTCATAAATATACGAAGCATTAGAATCAGGTAAAGAAGTTCGCATGGTCTTTTTGGATATTAGTAAAGCCTTCGATAAGGTTTGGCATAGAGGACTTATTTATAAGCTTGAGTTAGTTGGTGTAGCGGGCCCTCTTTTAAAATGGTTTAAAAGTTATTTGTTTGGAAGAAAACAAAGGGTTATAATTGATGGCCAGTCATCTGACTGGAATGAAATCGAGGCTGGCGTTCCACAAGGTTCTGTATTAGGTCCATTACTTTTCTTAATTTATATAAACGATATTACTCAGGATCTTCAGTGTGACTCTTTTCTTTATGCTGACGATACTTCTCTTCTTGAAGTAGTTGAAAATATAGATATTTCTGCGGAAAGACTTAAAAATGATTTGCAATGCATTAATGAATGGACACGTGACTGGCATCTTACTATAAATCCAGGCAAAACCAAATCTGTCACATTTTCAGTTAAAATGTTCAAACCAGCACATCTAACGTTATATTTTGCAAATGAGCCGATTGAAATTGTTAGTAATCATAAGCATTTAGGGGTTACCCTATCTTCAAATCTTTCTTGGAGAGCACATATATTCAATATTTATGAGAAAGCTTCAAAAAAACTTAATCTTTTAAAAAGTTTTAAGTTTAAGTTAAATAGAGAAACTTTATCAAAATTGTACAAGTCTCTTATTAGACCAGTGATGGAATATGCTGATGTTCTTTGGGATGGTTGCTCTGAAAATGAAAGCGATCTCATTGAGCACGTTCAATATCAAGCTGCAACAGTGGTTGTAGGTGCTATGAAGGGTACTAGTAGAGTACGGTTATTCGAGGAATTAGCTTGGGAAGATATGAAAACTAGGCGATCCATTCATAAACTTATTTTATACTTTAAAATTGTAAATATGCTAACACCAAATTATTTGTTGGATTTACTGCCTCAAACAGTAAAACAAAGGTCGGGTCTATCACTAAGAAATGCTTCTGACTTTTCTCTTTTTGGTGTGAGAACTGAAAGACTTAAAAAATCGTTTTTTCCTTGAACTACTATATTATGGAATAGCACAGATATTAATGATCGAAATTCAAAGTCGATTGGTTTATTTAAGAGCTCATTAACTTCGTTTTTTGACATTCAAACTTATACTGGCTATTATGATTTTTCTATTGATAGGCATTCTTCTATCTTACACACTCGTTTGCGCCTTAATTGTAATGCTCTAAATTATTATTTGTTTAAAATTAATTGTAGATTATCTCCAGCATGTTTATGTGGAGATTCTTGTGAATCAGTCATTCATTATTTGTTATTTTGTCCTCGTTATGCTGCTCTTAGATTATCCTTACTCTCGGCTGCTGCTCATATTTATGGTGAAGGCTGGTATCTCTTGTCCGATTCTCAAAAGTCTAAAATATTTTTGTTTGGTTCAACTGATTTGAGTGTAGATAGTAATAGATGTATATTTATGCATGTTCAAAAATATATTAAGCAAACTAATCGTTTTTCTAAGAATTTTTTTTACTTCTGAACCTTCAATTGAACCAGCTTTTATCACTTTCGCTGTTGGTTTTTCTTCTTTTCTTTTTGGAATGTTCGTCTTCTCCTGTTGTAAGTGTTATTTAATTCTTTGTAATGTTAAATGTAGTGTGAGCCCCTCGATGAGCGTCCACGCTCTTGGGTAAACACTAAAGTCAATAAATATGTTTATATAAATTTTGACCCCGGAGAAAAAACAAAGAAAATTCAACCCTTTTGTTGGAGCAAGATCACACACTGTTTGCCCATAGATAATGGAGGGGGATGGATTGGAATGCCGGCATACTTCAAAGGGTCTATTATGGTCTATCTTGGATCGCCCGGAAATATTTGCAAGTTGTGCAATGTTCACTTCCGGTTTACATTTTTATTTTGTCAAATGCAAGCAACAATTCCGGTGTATTTAAATTTCATTCGTATTCTATTTCAAAACATGGATTTTAGTTACTTTAATCTCGATATTTTATCAAGTGATGCCGCTGAAGTTAAAAAGGTAAATTTAAATATTTTTTTTCTTTTTATATGCTGTAATAAATGCATACTGTGACGATATTTCATACTTTTTTCATGCAAGATGCATCTGTTTTACATATAGCATCTGTTTTACATATATTTACATGCATTTAGGCTTTTCCTATCGCGCTTTGTGATGGTGATATCGAAGAAACCATTGAAGAAACTGATCACGAGAGAGGTACAACAGTCAACCCTGCCACAAAAGATAAGGCTCAACCAAAGAAAGGTAAAAAACCAAGAAAAAAGAAAGAAATTATCACGGCAGACCTACGTGATTTGGCGAAGGACGCTTTACTTCAAATGAAAGAAAACGAAATGTTAAATGCTCTTTACAATGATGATATAAAGCGTTTGCTGGAAAAACCTTCGCCTACTTTTCCATCAGACACTTTAAAAGAGAGATTCGAGAAAACATGCAAGAAATACTCTTCTGTTTTTATAACTACTGCAAGAGAAGCAATGTGGGAAGAGTTCAATAAAATATGGATTGATGAGAAGGTTACAAAGTCAATAATCCATGCTTGTGGTGTTACATCTGACTTCTGCTCTTGGTTTCTGCTCTACCTACAACAAGTTGTAGCAAAAAGGTACCTGAAGTATGACACTACTGCTGCTGTAAATAATACTGATTTGTCAGATGCTGAAAAGGAGTCAGTTGCCTATATTTCTGGTGCAGTATTGAAAAACGTAAGTTCCAAACTGTGTGATTTGAAGAGAAATATCAAAAGTAAAGGCCAAGATATTACTGCAGTGGACAGAGACATTGCAATAGTAAATGCATGCAAAGAAGAAAAGTCAAAGACAAATTGGCTTGCACCACTACCTCGAACAAACTGATTGAGGCTTTAAATCGAGGAGGTCTTATTCATCCAAAGACATCAATTACCAACTTGTTTTTGATTGTGGAGGGTATTTTTAGGCAAGGAATTAGCCTAAGTTCAAAACAAATTTGTGCTGATACTCTGCTATCTGAATCACTGGGGAATGCATCAGTTCAAACTTATTTCCTTGATGCTACAGTGCATGAATTGGCTGAACATGAACAGAAATTTAATATACTTAAAAAATGTGTTCATTTTTACATCAAAGTTAGATGTTATGCCCATGCAAAGCATGTTATTGAAAATTATCGGGTTGATACAAAAACAGAACGCAAGAAAAAATCATTGAGGAAAAAGCTTAAACTTTCTGAACAAGAACAAGATCAGTAGGTCTCTACTGTACATGCCAGTTCCATAATGTAAATACATAGAAAACAAATACTGAGCACTATACTGAGTTTTCTGTCAGGTACTGCAACTACTTTTTCTTTCGCTTTTTCAATGGACTTGTTGTTATAGTAATTCCTTCTTTGGGTCTCTTAGATCCTTTTGTATTCCCTTTGGGTGTTATATTCATAGCGATGCTCCGTTGAATTCTAAACTTATTCTCTTGAACACCAAGGGTTTGAAGTGTGGGATTTGTAGATCTTCTAGCAAGTTGTCGGTGCCGCCCAAAATGCTCCTCAAGGGGATCTTGATTAAACTTACTAGTCAAAACATATTCAAAGCCATGATTTAACAAGAACTTTACCACTTCTTCCATTGAGTAAACAGTAATTTGCAGTCCTAGAGGACATATGTAAGAGTCAAATATATAATGTAAAGACTAAAGAGAGTTATTTATCACCATGCAGGAATTAAACTGCAATACAAGGTAAATAATAGCCCCAACGAGGTGTATAAAAACATACAGTACACCCTTTCAAATTCAAATTAACTGCAACCTACTGTGGTAATATGACAGCTATATTCATTGAAGATTGTTTGCGTTGCATCAGCAAATTACTGCACTACAATAGGTTATGGCTAATTTGAATTTGAAAGATGTACATTTTTATATACCCTGCAGTCCTATTAATGGTCTTTTTAATGTGACAAGAAAAATATTTCACACAGACAGGGTAAAATTTATGACATGTTGCACTGATTGCACCTATTAAATGGTTAATTACCTTTCAACCATTTTTCATGTACCTTAATTATTATTAAGCTACTGTATTGGCAAAGTACATACTATAATTACAGCCCAATTACCTTGATAGGTCTGAGAACTAATAAACATTTTTGATTTTTCATCATTTGTGAACTTTCCTTCCCTCTCATCAATTGAACATTTCCAGTCAGCGAAATACTTCAAGAAAGTATTCTTCAAGAAATCAAAGCGAGAATCATCTACTGAAGTGTACGGAGCAAGGAAAGGCTTGCGTTTATGCACTGATGCATCCGGCCTTGAATTACAGCAGTCAAAGAACTTGTCCATCATAGACAAGAAATTTGCGGTTTCATGGGTTTCGGGAGTGGAATAAGCCATCATTACCTTTGAGACAGTCTCGCTTAGAACTTGAGTGGCAAGATTAACTCGCATTTTTGAGTAACTTGTGAGGTAGACATGTTCGTTTGTTAGTTTAGGCATTGTTCGCACCACGTTTACTCGGTCAGCCTCATAAAGATCCACGATGTGTTTCCAAAGTAGACATTTTCCATTGTTCCACAATCTTCTTGTGTTAGATCCTGAGCCAGAATTAGCTAAGTTGTTCCTAGCAGTTAAACAAGGTGAGGGGGATCTGAGAAAAAGTAGATATACCTTTGTTCATCTCTTGCAAATACATTAACTGTTCGATAAGTAACTTGGTCCCCAGAATCATGGAGACTGTACAGCCGCTGATTTGGGCCAGCTTTGTCTGATACAACTATGATAACTCTCAGGCCAGCATAGGTTTCAACTAGGCCAACAGCTTTCCACATCAGTAAGAACAGCTGATCTGCCGTAGCTGTAGTTGTTGCAAAGTAACCTAAACTAAACTTTAACCGAGCTGCAATACTTGTTACCATGAAAACAAGAGCATGGGTAGCAACATTTGCTGTCTTGATCCTCTTCTCTTTGTTTCGAATTACATGGCAGTCATCCACATCTTTGCCAAGGTTGACAAAACCAACTAACTCTCCAGTTACTTGGTCATATACAAGGTCATCTTTTATTGAAACTTCGTCCAACATGAGAACAACATATTTTTTGATGTCATTTAGCTTTTCAGCCTGATGTTTCAAATCACAGTGAGATGGCACCCTATGATGATAAGGTTTGCTTTACATATTCATCTAAGATCCCCATCTGCCTACCAAGCCTTGAAAGAAAGCAATGTCATTAAGTTACCTTGTGAAAGAACACTTCGGGACTACACCAACACTGTGCACCCGAGTACCGGGTTTCACAAGACAGTCTTTGGCCTTAGGACTTTTTTGAAAATATTTTTTCTGTTCTTGCCAGAACAGTTTTTCAAATGAATCCTCAGGTAATTCATCCTCAATATCACCAATTATATTTGAGAAATCTTTGTGCATTCCATCACTCAGACAAGCTCCTTTTTGCTGTATCTCTTCTTCCAAGTCTTGTAACATTTTCTTTAATTTTCTTTCGTTCTTCCGGGATTTTTTAAACTCTTGAACTAATTTGTCTTTTGGGACTTTACAGAGTGGAGTGTTAGGGTGTAATTCTTTGTCAGTATTTGATTTCGATTTTGCATTTCTCTTTAACTCTATTGCAGCTGCTTGTTTACAATACATACAGCACTCCTCTCCAATTGTGCCTCCAAACAAAATTTGACAATCACTACTTCTGATACACAATGCACTTTCAGTACATTCACCACAGAACTTGAGTTTTTCAACTTCATTCAAAAGCCACTGAATTCTAACTTTAGATATACTACGTTTATGTTTCACATAAAGTTCATGATTTTCAGGCAAAGATAAAGAAGATGATTCAATTGTAAATTCCAAGGCTTCGTTTAGGGATACCTTGTGAATAATGTCTCCATTTTCTGCTAAGTATCCAAAAATACAGGATGAGTTGTTTTCAATTAGAACAGTCCAAGGGAAGCTGACATGTTTAAAGTCTTTCTTTAAATCTTGTAGCTCAGTGTATTTATACACATCCAAAGTTGTTTCAGGAGAATCACGTACCAACTGTTTTCTTGGTGGTGCTTTCTTAGTTTCAATGCTCTTTTGAGGCAAATATTCCGTTGGCAAGGAACCTGGAGTAAGCCGCCTTTGACCTTTGTTACCTAATATCGCACGGACACAAAAGAGATACAAAACTAAGACTCAAATATCATGAGAAATACATCTAAATACAGTGAATATTGCAATTGTTTGAAGCTGTTTAGATACGTACCTGTTTTATAACAGCTTTCTTTGAAATGGCGAGAACAAATGAATGCATTACCTGGATTGAAGCTTTTATCAACCCTGTTGACTATTCGAATAAGCTGACTGCGCCATTCTTCGTGTTTTTTTCCCTTTGGTATTTTAAAAAAACTAAGGGCAGGATACTTATCTTTCGAAGCATATGTAGGACAACCCACAATACAACAATTTGCCCCGGGCATAAAGTATTTTCGACAATATGTCTACATTTCGACGATGCTTGATAAAAATGTAAACCGGAAGTGAACATTGCACAACTTGCAAATATTTCCGGGCGATCCAAGATAGACCATAATAGACCCTTTGAAGTATGCCGGCATTCCAATCTATCCCCCTCCATTATCTATGGTTTGCCAACTCGGAAAATAATGACATCGATTCGGAAAGGAATGGCAAAAATCACCAGCAGAGCCTAATAGGTCCTTGGAATACAGAAGACAAGGAAGACTTAGATGCGAGTGAAAAGCAAGATGGTATGTATGAAGACATGGAATGTGCATTGAATGGAATGAAATGTGCCACAAAAACCATGCATAGAGTATAATAACTATAGAGTCACCAGATCCTGAGACATGGTTGACTATCCAACATTTGGAACATCTTGACTCAAATGTTACGTTGTACCAAGTCTCTAGGCTGAACATTCTAAATAAATCAGGATGGTTATGTGACTCTGAAATACACGCTGGACAACTGCTTTTCAAAATGGAATTTCCTCTTGTCGATGGTCTGAGTAATCCTGCTGTGAGAGTGGCCTTGGCAACACCAGCTATGATTATTAACACTGGTGCACACTGGGTTTGCACGAGTACCATTTCATGTAGTCCTGGCACTGTTAAACTGTACAACACGGCAAATACCATTGCAATCCGCCATGCTTGTCAAATGCTTGTGTTTTCTGGAGACCACGCAGGTCCAACTTAGCTAAGTTTCTCCCACTCGTGCAGGCTCATATTGTCAGCGGACAACTTACACAAAATTGAAAGCAGTGCGTAAAACGAAAAGCTTTTAATTTTTTATGCGAAGACCGCTGGAAAACTGAGCCCTCTTTACCGGGAGAAAATTTGCCGAATATGACCAACGTGGACAACGTAACATTTATAAATGAAAAAGTCCAAAGGCAACTAAATTCTAATGACTGTGGCTTATTTGCATTAGCCATTGCAACTGACTGGTGCCATGGTGTAGACCCAGCTACAGAATCATATGACTAGTCAAAATTGCGTCAGCACTACAATTTTAATTGCTTAGTTGCTCGTCGACTCGTTCGTATTGCCGTCAATGACTCGCCTCTACCTGCACAGCCATCGAGCAGCAAAAGTAAACAATTGACAGAAAAATCTCGAAGCAGACGTTGTCTAGATATATCTCAACAAAACATTGCACAAAACAACGTTGATAAACAAGGAAAGCTGAAGATTTTGTGTGTGAATGACGACAGCTATAACCTTGGTTGTAGTACCACAATAAAGTCAAATCCTGAACACGAAGCAAAATCTGAAAGACCAGTTTTACCTGTCAAGAGGTATGGGGAAATTGTTTAAAACACGGAGAAAAAATTAACGGCGAAAAAAGTCGAACTCAAAGAACTTGATAACAGCCTAGAAAGGGCGAACATGCAAAACACCGGACACTTGTCAACATGCGGAAATTGTCATTTGAAATTAGGATATACCAGAAAATCATGTCATTTTAGTCTTTGAAAGTCTGCATTATCGTGCGGAATACTTTCAAAGCACGCGAATCAAAAATCTAGTCGAGCAAACATTAACAAAAACGTAGAAAAATTAGAAAGCCAATTACGAAAAGCAAAAAATGATCTAGATAGTGCGAAATCAGCCGTGGTAAGACTAAACAACTCTGCAGACAAAAGGATCGAGGACATCATTTTAAATGAACAGCCTCAGAGATATACTACATCATGTGGGCGCAGATTTTGGCTAATTCTAAACAAGGATGTTGCTTTTTTGCAAAGCAAGTTGAGGGGCACTCTGCCAACTCGGAAAAACGTTTTGAATCTTTTAAATTCGGTCGTAAACAAATAATCAAAAGTGACACCGGAGGCTACGTCAGCTGAAGTACAAGAGTCTTGTTGATTAAACCGTTTTACCAGCGGAAAGATGAACTGACAGTTCACTTTAAAAAGGAAGTCTAATGTCTAAGTTGCATGATCAAGTGTTAACCCAGCTCGACGAAGGCCGCGGATATTGTTAATATCGGCCCGACCCTTGCTGCTGAATGTGAATGTTCATTCGATAACGAAGACCTCCACCGTGACTAAAATGAGGCAGATTCACAATTTCACTTCCACATAATCACTGAATTTAACATTCTGAAAAACTTAAATTATCTAAAAACATCCAAGGCAACCGGGGTTCACGGGATCCCTGCAAGAATATTGAAATTATCTAGCAATATTATTATACCTGGTAATATTTGTTGACGATTGGAAAATAGCTAGGGTAACACCTGTTTATAAATCAGAAGATAGAACGAAATGTGAGAACTACCGCCCAATATCTATTCTTCCTATAATTAGTAAACTATTTGAGAAATAATTATTTGGTCAACTTTATCAATACCCGATAGATCACTCTTTGCTCTCACGTTTTCAATCGGGCTTCCGACCCAAACATTCGACATTGTCCTTATTAATACAAATGAGTGATAAGTGGATTGAAAATATGGACAATGGAGAAATAACCAGATTAATTTCAGTTGATATTAAGAAAGCCTTTGACTCTATTGATCATAAAATCTTACTAAAGAAGTTGTACGAGCGTTCAAAATTTAGAGCTAGAATGGTTCCAATCTTACTTAGCGAAACGCAGTCAAGTCTGCGTGGTTGATGGCTATATACATCTTCAGCCAAAGAAATTATATGCCGAGTCCCAGAGGGATCTATTTTAGGACCCCTCATGTTCTTATTATATATAAATTATAAGCCAGAATGTTTAAAAAACACAACTCCTGGCATATATGTCGATGATACGCAAATATATGCGTCTTCCTCAAGTTTCTCAGAACTAAGAATAAAACTTAATCAAGATCTAGAAAATATATAGTCAAATAGCTCTCCCAAAATAAATTACAGCTTCATACAAAAAAGACAAAAGCAATGTTTATAGGATCTTCTTATAATTTGAAATAGAAAGTTGGGAATGATCAAGTAATGATTAATGATAAACCTGTTACTCTCTTGTTTGGGAATAGAACTAGACGAAAAAATGAGCTGGGATAACCATATAGATGCAACATGCAGAAAAGTTGCCTCCGGCATTGGAATTATTAAAAGATTAAAACAATTTGTACCGTACGAAACTTTACAAAATTTATATAATTCTCTCGTGCTCCCATATTTTGATTATTGCTCTCCTTTATGGGATAATTGTGGAAGCTTACTCATAGAAAAATTGCAAACACTACAAAATAGGCATAAAATATATATAGACATAAAATGAATAAATCTGTTTTGATGTTTAAAATACCAAACAACCACTCATCCTCTAACTTAAAACATAAATTTATTACCAGGGAAACATGAGCAATTATAATCTTAGAAATGGCGACATAAATCTCTCACTTCCTAAACCAAAAATTGAAAATTTAAAAAAGAGTTTTGGTTACAGTGGGGCTGCGATTCCCCAAAGGCCGTGCATTACTTTCAGCATTCAGTTTCCTTCTAATTTCCTACGCCCATACGGAGCAGCTGATGAAGAACCAAATGAAACCACCATTCTCCGTCGAATTGGACTAATAAATTGGTGGCTCCTGAGGCCTAAAGTAGCTGCAAGCGAATTCGCTGACACAATTGAGAAGAACCTGAAGCGTCTTGCTGATTCTGACTCCAAGTTCGTCAGCCATCGTAAGTTTCCAACCGTACAAGACAAACTTGCTTCATTTATTCATAGTTAATAGAGGGGAGAGGGTTTGGAAGGTCGGCAAACTTCAAAGCTTTCGGAGCCAATTAATTTCAGATGTTGAAAACGTACGTCACGTGACAATACGGGTGCATCATGGCGACCGCGTCTATATGGTTTTATATTACGGTAATGCGATATCTTGCTTTTAAAATGTTGAATCAGCTGAAAACAAGGCATTGTGCGTCTTGTTATGGCTTCGACAAGTTCGGCCGACGATGTAGAAAGTCAATTTCCCAGTATTCTGGCGTCTGGAGCAAAAGAGGACGATTTTCAGCAGACCATTGAGTTGCTGCAAATCGACGCAGAAGAGGTATCTGACGAAATATCGCATTCTGTGGCAGAGGTATGTGATTTGTGTCTTTATATACACTCAATACAAGCTTATGAGACACGTTTAAGGTTCTCTTTATCTCCTACTTCTGTTTTAGCTTGAAGGTTTGAAGCAATATTCATGTGCGCATTGCTCTAAAGTGTGCAAATCAAAAGGTGGACTTACAAGACATACCCGGAGCAAGCATTTGACTAGCGAATCCGAAACAACGTCTTCCAAGGCAAAGCATGAGTCGAAGCAAATACCTACATACGTTTCAGAGGAGTCTGCCTTAACGTTGATTCGCGAGATTGGAAAATACTTGACTGATGAAAAGATTTATCCAGCGAAACAAGTAGCTGATGTATTTACGTTGAAACCCAGTGAGTCGTTTATAAAATGTGTGAATGCTTTGTTGCACAAGTTTCACCGTAAAAAAGATCGTGACAAGTTTATGAAAGCGTTCTTCGGGAACATGTATGGCTCGTGGAAGGAGTATTTTCATCCGTGCAATGATCACAAAGTTGTCTTTCTCATGCTAGTAAACCTGCCTGAACGTTTGTTAACTACACTGAAGGATGATGGTTCTCAAGAAATAGAGGTGGGTAAAGCTGTACTTCCTATGTCTTAGTTAATAGATTTTAGCATTTTAGTAACCAACCATTAATTAAGTTTCATTCAGCATTGGAACACTTGGACATCCTGGGACACATGAGAAACAGCTGTGGGCTGACTTAAAATCTCTATTTGTAACTTGTTGAGTTTCAGTACATGCACTGATACATTGCATTTCCAATTTTACAGAATGAATCTATCACACCAGAGGAACTTGGACCCCTTTCCTATGTTGCTGGATATGTAATTCAGTCATTATATCGAAAAAGCAACAAATCCAAAGAGGCAGATTCTGAAAGAAACCAGGAAATCCAGGTGTTGTTACTTTCAATTAAAGTTCCAACTGAAGAAAATCAATACATTTTTTCACTATCAAGGGGAGCTCTTTGGGCACCGAATTCCTGGCTCATAAAAATAGCAGAAATTGCTGAACTGTCTTTTAGGAGGCAAACAAAAATTGGTAAACCCACATCATTACCTGTGGATAGGATTATAGAAGATGTCATTACTTCTCCACTGGCAAAATCTCTGTGGAGCAATATTGTTGAGAATTGTGATATTGCAGTTTCAAAAGAATGTCAGTCTTTGTGTTTTGAAAACATTGTTAAACTTTATGCAACTGTGAGAGCTTTCTCTTTTGCAAGAGATATCGTGAACAAGTACAAATTACTTGAAAAAGCACAGAAGAGCAAGGCATTACGGAAACAGTTAAAAGTTGAAAGTAAATAATTGTACATACAGTATATCATTTGCCTGTTATTGTTAATGTTGCCTCAGAAAACATGAACTAGCCGTTTATATAAGATGTTGAGAAATGAGAATACATATCAGCTGCAGAATCAGCCCCCAATCATGTAGTCCTGCTAAGCAAAAATCACTATTCATAATTGTATTGTTTTCTGAGTTTAGGGACAGATAAAAATATATTATAAAGCATTTGTAGTACTAAATCATTGGGCTGGCTTTCATGGACACATTCAAATGACTTGCTTTCTACTTAACTTGTATTTAATTATGTTTCAGACACAGCAAATATGTATATCTGTGTCTAATGTGTATACACTATAATACATACTGTATACCTTAAGCCTGCTGCATACAAGAGCAATCAGCTGAGCTAAAAGTTACTAGTACCTGTTAGCTCAGCTGATTGCTCATAGTGTGTGGCAGGATTTTACTGAGTTTTGTGCCTCATGCAACCTTTTCTCGCATATCAAAGATGCTAGATATTTTCTTCAATGCCACACATGGTGAAATACTTGCAAAAATTGTCCGCACACGAGAGAAACTTGATGAGTTGATAGCCCAATGTGTGGCCGTTGGCTCAGCAAGTTTCCCTCGTGTGCAGAAGGCTTTAGAAATATCAAGTTTAATATACACATGTAGTTTGGTATATATTGACTTTATTATTACACCATGAAATCCAAATCCGAACTAACTTGAAAAAAGTTTTTATCTCCTAGCAGTTATGTTACTGTTTTGCCTAATAGCAATGTTATTTCTTTTTTGAACGTTTCGGCAATGGCTCTTCGGAGACAGTGTGCCATTTAGTTCTTGGACCAATGTGGCGACCAGCAACATTACCTTCGGCAGTTGGGGCAATGTCTCTAAGAACTGAAATTCTTAAATCATTGTAGCCAAAGTCAGCAGCCGTAGGGTTGTCTGCTCGTCTTCCCTGGGCTCGTTGGTAGCCAAAATATTCTTCGATATCATCTTGGCAAAACCTTTCCGTCAGAACACTCTCACATCCTTCACCCAGTAGGAATTTGGTTACCTGAACAACAGACTTGATGGTGATTTGCAGTCCTTTATATGTCTGTGTTGACAGAAACATTTGAGCCCTTTGCTCTGGTGTATATGTGCCAGCACGAGTCTGAGTGGAGGAAAACCAATCGCTCAAGTACTTGAGGAAGACATTCTCAAGCCAGTCAAACCGAACATCTGTACTGCTTCGGTATGGTGCCAGCAACATATTTCGTTTCCTTTCATGTTCATGAAAGGAACGAACATTAAGACAATCGAAAAAGTCATTCACCATCTCACACAACTTTGCTGTTTCATCTGCATCCCCTTCATGGAAGTATCGCTTTAATGCCAATGACACAGTTTTGCTCATCACCTGAGTTGCTAAGCTGACCTTCATCTTTGAAAATGACTTTAGATCAATATGATCCATAGTCAGTTTTGGCAACTGATGAAGGCCATGCTCTAAATCAAAAAAGTACAGTTTTGCAATATGCTCCCAGAGCAAGTACTTGCCATTGTTCCATAGGTTGCGGGTTCGCTTTCCACTTCCAGAATTAAAAAGACAATTTCTAGTTGTCTTTACTAAATGTGGTGCATCAGAAAAAAAATAGATTTTTCTGCTTGGGCAAAAGAGGTTAATGGTTGCATGAACTAGTTCTTCATCTTCACCAGAGATTTCCTCATGTAGCTCGTAGCATCGGCGGTTAGGTGACGCCCCATCGCTAACAGCAGCACAGACCCAAAGATTACATCCTAACTCTAACACGCATACAGCCTTCCAAAAGAGTGACATTAGTTGGTAAGAAGTCACATCCTTTGTAAGAAAGTAAGCTAGGGTAAACTTCAAGTCAGTTGCTACACCTCGCACCAAAAACACCAACGCATGTGTGGCTAGCTCATCAGTAGAGCAAAATGCATCATTCACTTGCTCTTCACCGAGGTCAACAAACCCGATCAGTTCATTAGACCGTTTATCAAAAACCAGTTTTGACTGAATTTTCATTTCATCAAAACTCAGTACAACATATCTTTGGATGTCAAAGTATTCTCTCGAAAGATCTTTCAATCTGTCAATGTTCTTTGAGTTGAACCCTGGCTTTGGCTTGAAGAAATTCCTATAGTCTCGCAATGTTCTTTGGCTTGGCAACACTAAAATTCCGGACTCTTGTAACTCCTTATATGCTGCCGGTGATTTTGCATGTAATGAGAGACAAAATCTGATGATTTGTGGATGGTACCTTCTTCCAAACTTAGGAGATGCTACAAGTTTCCTCTGCTGCTCCCAAAAAACTCTCATATGAGGTGTTACCTCAATGCTAGGATTATCTGCAAATATTGCCAAAATATCTTTCTCAAGTGCTTCATTAACAGGAATACTGTTCTTTTCAATTTCAGCTTCAAGTGCAGCAATCTTTTCTTCCATTTGTTTTGTCAGAACACGTTGCTCCTGGATAGTTGCAACCAACCTTTCTTTACTGGTAGCTGAAAGTGGTGCTTTGGCTGGGACTGGCCGGGCTTCCTTGACTGCTTTGGCTTTTGATGACTTCTGCATTGACTTTTCTGTGGCGCCACAATTGTCACATTTATCAGTATCACAGAGCAGCTGGCAGTCATGTGACCGTAAAAAGACTTTTGCTTGAAATGGATTCCCATTTGGACCATACTCTTCTTGCTTGATAGGGACGGTGTGCCGAATAATATTCTCAACACAGTTATCACTGGATGGATCAGTTGCAGCAGAAATAAATGGCTCCTCAACAGGAAGTCCACAACACAACTGAAATTGCTCTAATGATGACAATATGCTAGAAATTGTAGCATATCTCACAGATCTCTTGTGGGTTAAATAAAATGTGTGCTCATCAGGGAGTAGCCAGTTATAAGCCGCAACAGTTAAATTCAGTGAATCTTCAACTGTCACTGACAGTTTAGGAAGAGCATATGTCTGATCCCATAACACAAGAGTTACATTATTCTCATTCACACTTTTGCTCCAGCTAGTTAATTTTAATTTTTCTGATTTCTTCCTGAAATCATCAACACTTGTATACACTGGTTTTACCTTTAGTTCATGTCGAACAAGTTCACGTCTTGGTGCACTTGTAGATGTTGATGGAATGCTCCTTTCAGGAAGGTTAAGAGTAGGTATTGATCCAGGAATAAGCCTTTTACAGGTGGGAACTATATCAAAACAAGAAATAAAATTCTAAATATAAGTTGTTCACCCAAAATTGATTTGATCTTAGAGAAAACACACGGTATACTAAGGACTAAAACAATCCGAATTTAAAGAAATATGTTTTACTAAAACAACCCCCACGACAATGAGTAATTATATAAATTTATATCTTATGTGTAATCTTTTGCTCCAGTTTGACTTGTAAACATTCGATAACTTCGATCTGTGTATCATCATCTAGATTTCAGTTAGCCATGTAGAGCCAAGACGGGCTGATCTGGCCATCTTTGACTCAATGAATAATGTATTAGCGCTGCTTTCGCACCGTATGCAAACAGGATATGCAAGCAAGCTATCAAAATCATAATTATTCACAGCTATTGACGACAAGCATTGAAGCAATGGGGCATTGTTCTCGTAAAATAAAATTCAAGCGTTTGGCTCGAAATATAACTACTTCATACTCTATATTCACAACGTATGTTACTTACACGTCTCAATCAGGTGATTTTCGAAGTGTTTTTCACAAATATGGATGGTTTTTTGGTCGATTTGTTGTCGTAAACTTGCGTCAATCTCTCGATTCCTTGTCACAACCCGCACCCACGCTTCGCGAGTTCTCGTCGATAAATCATCGTCTTTTGTTGGGATTCTAAAAATACTTATATTCTTCTGCTTCCTGCTCGTTCCGCAACCGTAAATTGAGCAATTAGCCCCTGGCATCTACGAGATCTTGCGAAAAATACGCATATTTTTAACCGGACAAAGCTTTTACTGCTGCACTTCTTCGATTACTAATCCGCGCAGCTATGCACCCGTGTTGTCACGTGACATAGAACAATAACATAATTTGTCACGTGGTCTCAGCTTCCAAACCCTCCCCTCTATTAACTATGGATTAACCTTTAGTGCTTTTCTCTTGAATGATTTGCACCAATTAAGTGAATCATGCTAGCTGACAAATGTAATATAATATTATAGCACGAATACGTAAGCTATTGTATTTAACACCAAGGCTCACTTTAATGCAATAATTCTCTTTAAAATGAAAGCAAGACTTTGTGCTGAAGCATGGCATAACTAAAACCCCCATAAATGCTATTTTCAATGGCAACCCATTTTCATTTGTCTCAATTAACAGAACGAATGAAGGGACCTTGTAACAGATTTTGTATGTCCTCTCGAGTATTTTGACTAAATGAGTAAATAGCCTATACCATATATTGGACTATTAAGACAATGCATGGCGTCGTTTTTAACTTAAAAGATAGTGTTTAAATATATTTCATAAAAAATGACGTTCCAAGATGGCGGTCAATTTTAAGTCAAATTACAAGACCAAACGAGAGAAAAAATCACAAAAGACAAGAGATCATAGAGAAATTTTAAAGGTTCCTTCAAGATAAGGCAATAACAATAGGCCGTATTCTCACTATTCTGTGGCCGATTATCGTTCAGTTTCGTTGCCCCCCTTCGGGCACTACTTGAAAACACGATAGAAATTAGGATAAATTATAGAAAGTCTAAATTCACTTGTTTTCACCTTCACAAACCTGCAGTTTTCGAGCATTTCATCTTCGAAAAATCAGTGAATTTGCATGTTTTGCAATACACGCGTAAAAATCATCATGTTGATGCAAGTTGTTAAAAACAGGAGTGAACAATGTTGTGCTGCACCCTGTGAACAGTATGTTAACGATGTTGTTGAACCTTGTTGAGTCATCAATGTTGTTGCAACTTGTTACAACAACATAGCATCAATATTGATGATTCAACAACCTTCAACAACATTGTTAACAATACTGTTCCCAGGGTGCAGCACAACATTGTTCACTCCTGATGTGAC